ACTGATATACACCTGAACATCAGCAGGAGAGGACTCTTTAAAGTAGAGACACGACATACTGATATACACCTGAACATCAGCAGGATAGAACTCTTTAAAGTAGAGACACTACATACAAATATATGAATCTGAAAAGTTAGCATAAAAGGGTTCCTTTTTTATATATTACATATTTGGTTTAAAATTAAAGACAAGATAGTATTTAGTGTCCAATAAAATAACTTTTTTTAGTACCAGTCTTAAAATCTTTTCTATTCAAAACCTAATTAAGTTTATAATCGAATGCTACCACAGCACAGTTTACATGTTTCAGAGTGAACGCTATACTTAGATGTATTTAACAAGAAAGTTAATATATACTAATTCTTTCATTTGCAACAACTAATACTCACAGCAGGGGGGTGTTTTTCTGAGCTATAATTAATGTACGCACACCGGCGCTATAACAGTTAGCTGATTAGTCGCTGGACAGAAAATGATTTTGTAATCCTTAAGTTATTAATCAAGCACAAAGTGTGAAATATTTCCTGATTGCAGCTCCTCCAATGTCCGGATTGACCCCTTTTGCTTTTCTATATTAATGCAAATTAAATATTTGAGAGTGTTAGTTGAACTCACAGTGGTTTCTGGGAAATGTTGCTGTGCATATTTGTCAGTTTCTCGATCATTTCATTCTCTAAATAATGAATCTGCTAATCAAAAAATACAATCAATAATTAAAAGAATCATTAGTTGCAGCCCCTTGTGTACACACATGCAAACCAAATCCAGGAACTGGAGAATGTGGCGCGTTTCAGAACAACTAAAGATGTTGAATTTAATTAAAACTCGTAAATGAAATGGCAGTGATGTTGGTCTGACATTCAGCTCCGCAGGGGGGCTGATATTCAAACTATGGACCAAACTTCTGGGTTGTTTTTCCCTCCTACTACCATTTGAGAAACCCAAAAAGATAGAACAATTGTTAAGATAAGATAAGATAGGACTTTGCAGTAAAAAGAGCAATTCAATAACTACTGGAAACATAGACGGTCACATAATTAATGTAAATATTAACAGTATTTAGTATTTAGTACTGCAAAAACCGTAGTGGTAGTTACGTAATTGCACATTACAGAAAGTAGATCATGTTTGTCACCTTCCAAAAACTCCTTTTAAGTAAAATCTCTTTCTCTTTCTTTCTATACATCTTCAGCCCACGCCTGCTGATCTCTACTGACACCTTGAGGTCAGGATGTGCTGCTGCAGCGCTGACCCTCACCTTCACGTTGTTATACTGTATGTTATCCATCTCTAAACATGTTATTTCCCTCTTCATACAGCCGAGGTATAGCTCTCGGTATGGGGCTGGTTCCCTCTAGGCGTCGCGGTGCCTATGGAATAGTGGGAACTTAATTTTGTGCTACAATGCTTGGCTGGGCACAGTCAGATACAGAGGGATGCAGCGACACAGACACATAACCACAACAACTACTAGGGGAGCATTTTGTGAGAGCCCTGAGGAGACTGACACACACACACACACACACACACACACACACACACACACACACACACACACACAGTGGATCCATTGTGAGCTCTAGGAGGCTGCTGTAAGAGATTGTTTTGATGAAGCAGCGAGGGCACAGTAGCACTGAGACTAAATGTAGCATGGCCACGACGGTTGAATTGGCAGCTGCCTCTCTTTGGCTCACAACTTTCCGGATTCTTGGTTTTACTGTCGGCAGCTTTGTACTGTACAGTGTGCGTGCGTGCGTGCGTGCGTGCGTGCGTGCGTGCGTGCGTGTGTGCGTCAGGAGCCTGGGGTCGAGGCCAAAGCAGACTTTCTAAGTGATGGAATTTCACAGCCAGCGAGCACCCAGCGTTTGGCCAAACTGAAGCACTCACATTTACAACAAACGCCGCCCCGCTCCACGGAGACTCCTGAATGGCAAACCCATTTGTCTCTGTGAAGGGCAGAGGGAGAGAAAAACGAAATAAAATCAGAGGGAGAGTACTTAAATGGAACAACGCTATTTTTTGGGGGGTTTTGTTTACGAGCCCTGTACACTCAAACAGACACACACACACTGCTATGAGGCTACATTGGAATTAAAGGGTGAGGAAAGGTGCATAGCCTGTTGCTAATTAGCATTTTCTCTGCTCAGCAGTAGCAGGCGGAGGAATCGATAAGATATTAAGTTTGTGTATAGCGATGAGGCACGCAATCCCTTTCATTCATTAGCAGCAGCAGATTAGAGGAGAAACACCGGACAAGAAAAAAGGAAAATGTTGACCTCTGTGATTTTCCGCTGTTTTATTGTTTTATTGTCTCTTTTTATTGTATATTTGAGAAAATGTGAACAAGAATGTTGAAATACCTACAGTTGTAAAAGATATTAACATAACCTTTTCAAATTGGTGTTTAATTTGACTTTTAGAAAAGAGCATTTTCACGCCATCATTGGAAGTTACTCTCAATCATCTCACAGGTGAATACAATGTTGAAACACTTGAGATCATTGTGTGTAATTAAAAGATTCAGATGTAGTTATTCATATCCCAAGGACGCACGAAAAGGTCTATGATCTGATCTGTTTTGAGGGGACAACCTCTCTCTTTGCTATAGAAATGTTCTTCATTAACATCTCAAGGTTTGAGGGCTAATGAACCTTTTATTTCTGCAAAAACGAACCAGTAAAGTGGCTATAAAATGCTCCAAAGAGTTTCCAAGGTCCAACTAATCCGTCCAACAGTGTGTGAGAAAGTCTGAAGGTTTAAATCAAAGCACACCTCCACCTGTTGCAGCTCTTTCTCTCTAGATGTATAATTCACCTCGCCTCGTTGAATATTTTGTGTTCTGTGTTGGTTTGATGTTTCATTCATGTGTGTCTGGCTGGAAATGGACGGCCAGTCTCTGTGTGTTTTGACCCAGACTCACACATTGGACAGGCTACTTGAGTAACTATACCAATAGGCGCTTTCACACCGGAGTACTTTTCCCAGTATAGTTCCGATATAGTTCCGAAAATCTGCGTTCACACCAAAAAAGATCCGGAACTAGAATTTAGTTCATCAGAACCTTTTTACCCCCTTTTCAGTCCCTGCTAGAGAGCAGGTACTTTCGTGGGAGAAAAAGGTTCCCATTTCTGATTGGCTGGGCGGATTGCAAACCACGCCCCGTAAAACTCCCAAAACGTTTTGTGAAGCCGCCATTTTATTATCCTCGCATTTGCATTATTAGCATTAGCATTAGCCCAGCGCACAAACGCAGAGAGACTAACTTATGGCAACACAAAAGAAAACATGGGAGCGGTGGAGATGAGGAGGTGTCGGCGTTCTGGAGATTTACTCGGAAGGCTTCAGTAGAAGCTGCTGGGAGTCCCAGCAGCTTCTACTGAAGCCAGTCCCCAACTCCGGGGACTTCCAGCCGGGGACTTCGGGTGGCAGTATACGCCGTGAAGTGGTTTGCGGCCTGCCAGTAAACCCAAAGCAGAAGAAGTAGAAGAAGTGACGTCACCGGCTTCATTTGCCTAATCCTCCCTCAGGGACTTATTCCGGTGTGAACGCGATCTGCTCTTTAGAACTAAGTTCTGATGAACTAAGTTCTGATGAACTAAGTACGACAAAGTACTTGGTGTGAAAGCGCCTAATGAAATATAATGGTATTTCAGTCAGTGGTGGATTGTAACTAAGTATATTTATTCAGGTAGCATACTTAAGGACTCTTCTTTCCCATGTTATGCTTCGTTTAACTTCTACGTCGAAGTACTCAGATCTTGTACTTGAGAAAAAGTACAGAGTACAATAAAAAATATTCAAGTCAAGTAGAAGTACCTTAAAAGTGTACTTAAGTACAGTACTTGAGTAAACGTACTTAGTTACTTCCCACCTCTGCTTCTACTCCATTATATTTCAGAGGGAAATATTGTACTCTTTACACTCATAGTCACTAGTTACTTTTTACATGTACAATTCAAATACTTAGTTATATGATATGATGCAGTACTGTCTGTACTCCTAATCCATGCATTATTTTTAAATTGGCTCCACATAGACAAACCGCTAGTTAAAATTATAAAACAATAAAATATTATTTAATAATATAAAACCGTGAAAAGAGCCATTCTGCATTCTGAGTACTTTTACTTTGGTACATTTAGCTGATTATACTTCTGTACTACTGCTTAAGTTACAACTTGAATTCAGGACTTTTACTTATTACCATTGTTTAAAAGACATAAATACTTCCTCCTGCTCAGATTGCAGTCTTATCTTAAACTGAGAGCTATAATCGTTGAGTATCTAAATACTCCAAATAGAGTCCAATGAAACCTGATTTAAATCTAGTATTGGTTCAAATGTGTCCATAATAGCTTTTGTTGGTGAGATTACACCCAAAGTATTTAAAACCTCATAATGAAGTCAAAGTCAACTTTATTGTCAATCTTTCAGTTTGTGTGTACAGACAGAGATCGAAATACTGTTTCCCACAATCCCGAATACAAAAATACAAATATATATAAAAATATGTATACAAAAAGAGTTGTTCTCTACACATGCTAAAACATCTCTCTCCTCCTTTCCTTCCTCTCCCTCTCTCTCCTCCTTTCCTTCCTCTCCCTCTCTCTCCTCCGTTCCTCCCTCTCTCTCCTCCTTTCCTTCCTCTCCCTCTCTCTCTCCTCCTTTCCTTCCTCTCTCTCCTCCTTTCCTTCCTCTCCCTCTCTCTCTCCTCCGTTCCTTCCTCTCCCTCTCTCTCCTCCTTTCCTTCCTCTCCCTCTCTCTCTCCTCCTTTCCTTCCTCTCCCTCTCTCTCCTCCGTTTCCTTCCTCTCCCTCTCTCTCCTCCTTTCCTTCCTCTCCCTCTCTCTCCTCCTTTCCTTCCTCTCCCTCTCTCTCCTCCGTTCCTCCCTCTCTCTCCTCCTTTCCTTCCTCTCCCTCTCTCTCTCCTCCTTTCCTTCCTCTCCGTCTCTCTCCTCCGTTCCTCCCTCTCTCTCCCCCCCTGCAGACCACCTGAGTCCGAAGGTGAAGAAGCTCGTCTTTCTCACGGCTCGAGTTCACCCCGGAGAGTCTCCTGCCTCCTTCATCTGCCAAGGTAAAGTTTGAATGTGTCTCTGATTCAGATGCAGCTCCATGTGTGGTTCAGTCCTGCACACTAACACGTGCAAGAGTTCATGATATGGGTTCTGGCAGTGGCGGCCGGTGGTCTTTTTTTTTGGTGGGGCTCTTGACGTACCGTAAGTGACCTACCCGGGGGGTCCGGGGGGTGTCCCCCCGGAAATTTTTTTCGAGAAATGACCCCTTAAATGATGACTTCTGGTGATGTTAGAGGGGGGGGGGGAAAGGAGAAATCGAGGCTTAAAAATATGAGAAGACTGATCAATACCTCCATAATCTTCAGTGTGGAAAATATTATTTATCAACCTGAACATCTACTACTTTACCAGGAATTTGTGTTCTCAGAACTGGTCTGTTTTTTTCTTTCTTAAAACTGTTCATGTTTTATGAACCAACACCTTCACCAAGTAGCTTTACAGTGAACTGCATGTGAGATATAAAATTAATAGCATCTTTTCAGTAGCATTAATTATAAATATTTAAGTGGTTCAATACAAGTCACTACAGCATTTCAAACTGAACTGTGAATAAATGCAATTTAAAAAAAATAACCACAGCACAAAATGTCATAAATTGTGTTTTTTCTTTGTTTCTCTGAGGATTATTTACAAACAGGCTTATTTACATATAGCAATAACTCAGAAATGAAAAAGCTACATCGTCTAACACGAACAACCAGTTAGCATAATGATAATATATGTGTTATGTACAATGTAACTGGCAAGGCTAGAGCAAGAAAGAACATAAAGTTTGCAAAAGGTTTAAATAACTTCAAGTATCTGTCTTCAGATTACGTGGAGGTTTTAGTCCGATGGGAAGCAGATTTTAAGCGACACCGAAGATAAACCAAAAATGTGGTGGAGCTGCAAAACCGTGTAGTGTTGCTGGGACAGAACAGGAGCTATAACCGTTGGAAAATACATCACAGACAATGCAACAAACGTGGAGACAGAACAATCACTTCTGTGATAAATGCCCACTTATTAATAAACTTCTAACAACCATGGGAAACCTCCTCTCTACATATAAAGTGATATCCAAGCATGGGAAACAAAAGACAGCATTTACCTGTTTGCATCCAGCTAGCCAAGCCTTTCTTGTGTACCAGCTACTTGTGAAGCCTCGTGTATAAATTTTGTCTTTTTCACGAGATTGCTGCGATATATTCAAATCGGGTTGGTCCGGTGCAAGGTCTTTAAGCAACAATTTATCTGCCAAACTTCTTCTTTCGAAAGGATTGGAGATTAGCTCTTGAACAGAATTAGGTGGGGACCGAGGTCCGGAGACTCCACCTGCACACGAAGCCATCCTCATCAACTACTGCGTCAACCGGATACGAGTCACTGTCCAAACTACTCACAGACTGCACTGGGCGCTGACATTGGCGCCCGGTGACCGTCATCTTTGACGACGCTGATTGGCTGAAATTATATTTTCGCGGCATAGTTTACACGTTACAGATAGCAACAGTCAGCTGCTGGTGGCTGCTGCTGCACTGGTTGAAGGCTCCTCTCTTAGCGCCCAGACGAGAGAAGGTGCATGGGCAAGGCCAGGCAGGAAACATGTGACTTATCAGTAACTTTAGACATCGTAACACAATTTTAAACGAGATTTTATTGTAGATTATACATTTTACTGATACCAATTATATAATATTTACCTTGTTCATTAAAAATAAAAATAAAAACATATATATTTTTTTAAACATATTTTTTTTTTTTTATTTTAATTTTAATTATTATTTTTTTCAATATGGGAAGAGGTGGGGCGGCGCCCCTAGCGCCCCTATGGACCGGCCGCCACTGGGTTCTGGGAATATTTGTATTCACGGTATTTATAGTCAGTGAACTATTCTTCAAGATGCAAAGGTTTTATTGTCATATGCACGTAAGCTACAGTGTAGAAATGGCAATGAAATTCTTCTGACCTGAGCTCCTCCAACAATGCAACATATATAATAAAATACAAAAATACACATACAAAATAGTGCAAGAAGTCTATATTACACGTAAATAGAATATACAAGAATATATACAAGAACAGAATGTCAAATTAAATATTGTACAGGAAGAAAAAATGAAATACACTTTTGATATATTTTTTGTGTTTTGAAGACTTTTCTATGCGTTTGATGCTAGATTTATTATAATGAGACTAAATAATGTGAGTCATGCCCGTCTTTCAGGGTCTTTCAAACAAAAGATAATCATCAATAATCTATCTTTTTTACATCTCCATCAAATACAATTAATACTGAAGTCATGATGCAAAGGGGAACACAACAATAAATAGCTTTTAATTGTTCATATCTTTAGTATAGCATCTTTATTACCTGCATAACTGACAAAGCCTGTACTTTACAGCAAATACTGAGATGTCTTTTCTCCAGATTTAAAGGATAAATCAGCCAATTAGCCGTTTGCTTTCTCATAATTTTGGGATATGCAAGTGATAAATACTGTTTATAAAACGGACAAGTCAAATCAAGCAATCTGATTGGTTCTTAGCCGTGATATAATGAGCGTATATCACGGGTAGAATTGTAGTTACTTTTCACAAGTCAGTATCCCTCCGCGTCTGAGAAAAGCTACAACCGTTACAGCTGTTACATTACGTCCGTTACGAAACTAACTAACTAACAAAGCTTAAGATGGAAACATTTAAGGTTAACTTGGACCTCCGGGGTGGCCTTACTATGGAGGAGTGGATTGAGCAGTGCCTATCTCCAGAAAGCACCTAAACGACGACATGTAGAGCTACGTGAAGAGCAGGTATAGACCAACTGGAAAAGTATCACCATTCAAAAGCTTTCTGATGCGGGTCTTGAAACAAAGCAGAGAAATGATGACCGTTAGTGGCCACAGGTGCGAAAGCTCTCTCCAGAGCTACTGGAAGCCGAATCTCGGGGACCGGAGAAAGTGGAGCAATATTCTCGCCACGCCAAGCAATAGCCTAGAACAGGGGTCTCCAACCTTTCTTCATCTGAGAGCTACTTTCAAAAAATGAAAGTGGCCAAGAGCTACTTGCATCACATCGCTTACATTTATTCACATAGCCCTCATCAGTTGAATTAAGCTATACTTTTGTACACGTGTGAAATTGCAATACCTAAAGCTTATCAAAAATAAGGTCCAAGAAAACGAAGATTTCTCACATATTATTATGGCCCACATAATAAGTACATCACTGAACATTCACATAAGTGTCCTTAATCACCACCTTACAAGCATTTCACTCTTTTGTTAGTGAGATGAATGGCACTGCATGCAGTCCACCATAGAGGTGTATGCTGGAGTCATAGAATAGAGTCATTTAAATGTTCATCAGTTGGTCTTGTTCTGTATTTAGATTTCATTCATGTCAGAAAAAGCTGCTTCACAAAGGTATGTAGAACAGAACCAAATAAAGCAGACATTTTCAGTGCTGCTTGGTGAATGTTCTATAGTTTTCGGGGTCTACAAGGCTCCAGAAATGTTGTGAGTTTTGCTGAGACTTAAGCTGAACATTATTTTGGAGATCTCCACAGGATTGACACTGAACAGTTGTTCAGCCATCTTTTTCTTCTTCTTCTTCGTCTTGACATTAAATTATAAACCATAATAAATTAATTGTATAGGTCTAGCCTCCCTATATCTGTGTGTGAAAATGGTTCTATCCTCAAAAACAAAAAACTAATACTTCTGCAGTCTAGCTGCAGCTTCTAGCTAGTCTTCTGTTAAAAAAAAAGACACTGAATGTCTTGAATGCATCACACACAGGACTTGAGTCTGAAAACAGCAGGAGTATTTACAATAGCATTATAAAAACAAAAATAGTGCATGTGGGTGCACACTTACATTCTCTACTGTTACATAAATCCCATGAATGTATAAGATTAAGTTAGCTTCATCATATCTCAATCAGTGGTTAAGTGAATAATAAAGTTTCTATCGGGTCACTATCAGCCTGTCACTCATTATTTTCAGGGCGGGGTTTGGAGGAACGGAGAGGAGACGGTGATCGCGGAAGCTTTCCTCCTGCCTTCACAAACTTTACACAAGTATTTATCAACTGAAAATAGCAAGAGGACATTCATACTCTGCAATCCAAGACTTGATTAAATCCACCAAAAACCTGACATGACGATAACGAGTGTTTTTCAAAAAACACAAATCCCTCCCTGTGTGTCTCTGACGCGCAGCGACAGGGCCTGATTCAGAGCGGGTCATTCTGCTGTTAGTTCTGGACTGGTGTTGGTGGAGAAAGCAGACTGCTCCGTGTGTGTTGTCGCTGTGCTGCTGTCACGTCTGTTCCTTGATCTCTGCGTCACCGACCATTTGATATTCGTGTGACAGAAAAAATTCTAAAATAAAAAAACGTTATTGTCCAGCCGCGGCCGAAAAATCAATAAGCAACCTTACTACGCTATAATCAATAATCGAGCGGCGAGCTACTGAAAAGCTGCCCGCGAGCTACCGGTAGCTCGCGATCGACGTGTTGGAGAGCCCTGGCCTAGAACATGGGTCGGCAACAGGCGGCCCGCGGGCCATTGTTGGCCCGCCAGCAATAATATTTGGCCCGTCATTTTGAGAATAAAAAATCAAAAAATATTTTGAGATTTTTTTTTTTTTTTTTTTTTTACAACATCAGACCGACAGTCGCACATATAGGCTATAATGTCCGAATAGAGAATCTACCTACACCTGAAGAATGCTTATTGTACTTTTATCTATGTTGAGAATGAATGACATACAGCACAGGCACAATCAGGCAGCGGGGTGCACTGACGTCAATTAAAGTACTTATTTAAAGGACACCTATCATGCTATATTTAAATGATATATTGTAGGGCCATACCTATATAAGGTGTATTTATACGTTTCTGTTTTCAAAATACCAAACAGATCAGGCATTTTAGCCATGCCTCATTTCACTCCATTTGCTGTTCTCCAGCCCTGTTTTTGCAGGGGGCTGATTCTGTGAGCTGCAGCTGACCACGCCCCCCTGCAGGAGAGGGGAGCGTGCTCTGATCAAGTCAGAAGAGGGGGAGAAAAAGAGATCTCCGTCCTCCGTGTTTTATTCTTATATTATTATATAGAATCGTTATTCATTTGTTTTAAAGCTCAATAAATAACAAAGAAGACCTTTGACCGGCACTTTTCTAATTTTGTCCGGAAGATTTAAACTTTAACGGACATCTTGACCGGCGAAAGAAAACCTAACTGAAACTCTGCCGCACGGTCGTTCCTTGGAAGAGGCGGAGAGGCGGAGAGGCGGAGAGGTGGGTGTTTGTCATCTGCTGGTGGACTAACCGGAGAGAATTACAGTGCTTGCCTTGGGGAGGGAGAACAAAAGCCACAGCGGAGAATAAACAGAAGGGTAACCATGGCAACCATGCACGGGAAGTCTTCTTCGCTGCTTTTGTGGCAGACTACAGCGCCACTTACAGGCCTGGCATATGTACTACAGAGGCTCTGGATTGGGCGCCTATATCATCAGTGAACCAATCAGCGGATCTGACTGGGTTATCAGCGATATCAGAGTTTTTTCTGAACCGGGGAACAGGCGCGCTGCACCCTCTTACCAAAATCAATTCCTTGAATTAGGCTTTGATTATGTTCTGGCCCGCCATCTTGTGGCTCAGAAAAAAATTGGCCCACGGCCAAACTTACTTGCCTACCCCTGGCCTAGAACAACCTCTCAACCTATACAAGTAACCACGTAAGCCATGCAACTGATGCTGGACAGTTTTTCAGTGGGTGCACAATGAACGGCAACATACACATTAATGTAAATAAATAGCCAAATAATCGATCAACGCTCTCTGTCTAATATGTTCGCTAGCTGTTAGCGTTGTTGCATAGCAACCACCTCGCACTATGTTTCGTGCAGAAGGCAACGGAGGGACTATTTTATTTTTAACATAATTATTTACTAATAAAAACTATTTAAATTAGAGTGTGTATTTTTCTTTCATATTGCCACACTTGGTAACCGTTTTATAAAAGCAATAGCTCACTTCTGGCCGTGATATATGCTCATTATATCACGGCCTGTCGTGAGCTATTGCTTAAATATACTGTATAAGCTGACACATTACAAAATGAATGGTCAAAACATAGCAGCAGAGGCCGAAATATTAGTTGATAACTTGGTCAAAATACTATATTTTCCATTGTCCATGATGCAACTCAATAGCATTTGTTGTTAGATCACATGTCCTTTCTATTTAAGTCACGTCCCAGTTTAATAAATGCTTTTTCTTTATGAACTTCAGGTATGAACTTCAGCAGCGACCCTTTAGATCTAGCATATGCTACATTACCTTTTGGAACATGCTCCGTGCAGTATATAAACTCATATACATGAATGTTTTTAAATTTCTCCCGAGACATATGCTCTGAGATGTCTGACTGTTACAGGAATAGGTACAAGCCGCTGTGTTTCTATATAATATCTCAGGAAACACGATCTGAGGATATCACAGCGTTGCATTGTCTCAAAACTAATAAAACAGTTTTGAAAAGTGAGAGCCTTTGGGAAATCCTCTCCTTGTGCAGTCTATCGTTTTAGGATTTAATGACTTTTAGCTCCTGGTGCTCAGACGGAGGTGAGTGGGCAGTTCACTCCTTCTGGATCTCACTTCCTTCTTTATAGGAAGAGGATGGTAGCTTTACAATGGGACAAAGAGCACAGCATTTCCTTTAGACAAGTCTCCGTCCTCTCCTGTGACTAAGAGAGAACGAGTGAGGAAAGTCAATTAGCGTTAACGAGGTGGAGAGAGGGTGTTTGTCAGGGAGGGACAGAGAGGTGGGAGATAGAATGGTGATCTAACTATCTATCATTATATATATCCAAAAGTCGTACTTTAGTAGAAGTATACCAGTATTAGAAGCTAAATATATTTAAAGTATCAAAAGTAAAGGTACCTATTAGGCTGCCGACGGACCCATTTCAAAGTAATATTGTATTTAGAGATTGAATTATTATTTACAAGCATTAGGCAGCATTTTATGTTTGAAATAAAACAACTTGCTATAATGTTGGGTAGTTTAATCTATACTTATTCTGTATAGCATCATATTTTACACATTTATTTAAATGTAATGCATGGTTAGTTGTTAGTTGTCCAAAACCCTAATAGTAAAATGTAATGCATCATATCTACCTACCTACCTACCTACCTACCTACCTACCTACCTACCTACCTACCTACCTACCTACCTACCTACCTACCTACCTACCTACCTACCTACCTACCTACCTACCTACCTACCTACCTACCTACCTACCTACCTACCTACCTACCTACCTACCTACCTACCTACCTACCTATCTATCCATCTAACTATCTATCTACAGTATCAGTGCATGTGAGTGTGTTTCAGTGTGTGTGTGTCCTCGCCCGCTGTGTTCTGTCTGTTTTTCCAGCGTCGTCAGCTCCATTCCATTTGTATTGATTCAGGCCTGACGTCTCCTCTTCCTCCCCCGATCCTCACGATGCCCCTCGCTGTCCTTCCTTCTCCTTTTGTTTCTCAAAACTCAATTAACTGCCAGCCCGTCTTTGCCTTTCTTTTCAACTCTATTTCCATCTCTCTCTGTGTGTGTGTGTGTGTGTGTGTGTGTGTGTGTGTGTGTGTGTGTGTGTGTGTGTGTGTGTGTGTGTGTGTGTGTGTGTGTGTGTGTGTGTGTGTGTGTGTGTGTGTGTGTGTGTGTGTGTGTTAGGTGTGATCGACTTCCTGGTGAGCCAGCACCCTGTGGCTCAGATCCTCAGAGATCATGTGATCTTCAAAATCGTCCCCATGCTGAACCCTGACGGCGTCTACCTGGGAAACTACAGGTGCACAAACACACATCTTTTAATTCCTTTATGTCAGGGGTGTCCAAACTTTTTTCACCGAGGGCCACATACAGAAAAATATACAAAGAGCTGGGCCACTCACTAGAGGTATATCGCCTCATAAGTTCAATTATAAGTTAGCAAAATCAATCAAATGTAGGTACATGATGCTTGTGAGTGTTGGCAGCTCATCCCTTAAAACAGAAGCCTCAGATTGATTATAATAAGGAGAAATATGAAGGGTGTATTTCAAGCTTGTTATGGAAATTAGTCAATGGGCTTTTTTCTTATATGTTAGAAAATGTTTCCAACTTTAATTGACTGAATCGATTTGAAAAGTGGTCTCATTAACACGTGAATACTACTGTGTGATATATGTACAATATAAGACAAGCACAAGTTTCATTTGTGGGCCATTATACTTTTTGAATTTGCTGAGGGCCGATTCAAAATGGTCCGCGGGCCGCATTTGGCCCCCGGGCCGTAGTTTGGACACCCCTGCTTTATGTGAATGCATCATTTCAGACATTTCATGGCTTTTATACGTGGGATTATATCCTCTTAACTCCGCCTTAATGAATTCATATAGCTCACAGCAGTGCACTTGTTACAAGATAGTATAGTATGTGGCCGTGGGGCTGTTTTCTCTCCGTCCATCCTCTCTGTCTTTAACACTGTTGCTGCAGCTCTGTGGGCATCCTCCTCTCGTCTCTTCTCTCTTCTCTCCCTTCTTCATAATTGCCTTTTACTTAATAGGCTCAGCCCCAGGAATACTAATGCACACTGTGATAAGCATCAGCAGCTCACTGTGCGTTTGTGAGTGCCATCTAGTGACAATGCCTCGACACTGCCTCCTAAAAACTCAGTCGCAGTGAAGAGCTCCATAATATCGTTGCCTGTGATTGGTGGCTGCTTATTTTCATTAGCTTGCTTTCACATTGAGCGGCGATTATCAGAGTATTGACAGAATGTGAGTAGTGATATTCCCAACCTCACCAATCACACAGGCTCTTTTATACATGCATCTCACACACACACACACACACACACACACACACACACACACACACACACATACACACACACACACACACACACACACACACACACACACACACACACACACACACACACACACACACTGACACACAGATAGCACACAGCCGTCCCTGCAGGATACAGTGCAGAGCAGACTGAAATGGATACATGCAGAGCTCAAAAAATCAATATCAGTTAACCTGGGATGAGTATTGTTTTCATGGCTGGCTGCTCTGCTCTGTGGCTCCTATAGTATCAGTACCTCCTGTGTCATTACCAAGGTCTTCAGTAAATGTCAGAGACACACAGGACAACAAGCAGGGCAGCCCAGGGTGCTTCGTAACATGCAAACACCCCATTATCGCAATTGCAGGGTGCTCGAAACAGAAGAGTAGCAAAACACCTCTTTACCTGTTAACATCCATCAATTATCCTCCATCTATGTATTAATGAGCCGGGAAAAGGTCACAGTGGGAATTTACTGTCTGTAATATATCTAAATTCCCTCTACACACATTGAGATTTTCAGTATACTTGTGTTAAACTGCATACAGTATACCACATTAAAGGGGACCTATTCTGCTCAGTTTCAGGTGTATATCAGTATGTAGTGTCTCTACTTTAAAGAGTCCTCTCCTGCTGATGTTCAGGTGTATATCAGTATAGTGTCTCTACTTTAAAGAGTCCTCTCCTGCTGATGTTCAGGTGTATATCAGTATGTAGTGTCTCTACTTTAAAGAGTCCTCTCCTGCTGATGTTCAGGTGTATATCAGTATGTAGTGTCTCTACTTTAAAGAGTCCTCTCCTGCTGATGTTCAGGTGTATATCAGTATGTAGTGTCTCTACTTTAAAGAGTCCTCTCCTGCTGATGTTCAGGTTCATATCAGTATGTAGTGTCTCTACTTTAAAGAGTCCTCTCCTGCTGATGTTCAGGTGTATATCAGTATGTAGTGTCTCTACTTTAAAGAGTCCTCTCCTGCTGATGTTCAGGTGTATATCAGTATGTAGTATCTCTACTTTAAAGAGTCCTCTCCTGCTGATGTGCAGGTGTATATCAGTATGTAGTGTCTCTAATTTAAAGAGTCCTCTCCTGCTGATGTTCAGGTGTATATCAGTATGTAGTGTCTCTACTTTAAAGAGTCCTCTCCTGCTGATGTGCAGGTGTATATCAGTATGTAGTGTCTCTACTTTAAAGAGTCCTCTCCTGCTGATGTTCAGGTTCATATCAGTATGTAGTGTCTCTACTTTAAAGAGTTCTCTCCTGCTGATGTTCAGGTGTATATCAGTATGTAGTGTCTCTACTTTAAAGAGTCCTCTCCTGCTGATGTTCAGGTGTATATCAGTATGTAGTGTCTCTACTTTAAAGAGTCCTCTCCTGCTGATGTTCAGGTGTATATCAGTATGTAGTGTCTCTACTTTAAAGAGTCCTCTCCTGCTGATGTTCAGGTGTATATCAGTATGTAGTGTCTCTACTTTAAAGAGTCCTCTCCTGCTGATGTGCAGGTGTATATCAGTATGTAGTGTCTCTACTTTAAAGAGTCCTCTCCTGCTGATGTTCAGGAAAACCCCCAAAAAGCTTAAAATGGCCTCTTTAAATGTTCAGACGTTTTTTGTAGGCAAACAAAATGTTAAAATGTTCTATTTCTCAATACAACTGCCTTGTTTGCATCTTTCTTGCCTCATAAAATGTGTTGAATGCATTTCCTTCCTTATAAATCACTCTCTATTTAATATGAAGTTCACAATATAGCTTCTGCCATTTTTATTTGAATGTCTGGATTCTGACTGGGACATTTATTTGCTATAAAGTGCCTTTATAAAATCCAACATAGCAACCAAAAAGTAGTGCCCATGCATGCCACATAAAGTGCTTTCTGCTAACAATTGCGATGTGTCACATTTTAAATATGCACATTGCCTCTTCGTAACTCTTTACCCGTCAGTCAGTGCTCAGGGATGGCTTTAATTCATTAGTCAGTCATTTTGATTCATCACTACTCTAGTAAACAAACCATTGTCTACAGTAGGTAGTAGTGAAGGAGTTATTTAGGACCCAGGGATATGTTCATGCTTCTTTGTTTGTAACCAGGCTCATTTTTCTCCACTTTAAAATATAATACACTGTAGTTTTCCATATACTCACTGTCCTAAGTGTTTTAGTTGTTTCACTTTAAGGTTATTTGTATAATTACATTTACATTTGGTGTAAATACTTGTCTTTAGCATCCTTTTTGAATGCTAAATTGTTTCTTAAAAATACTTATTTTACAATCCCCAAACTATTGGCCCGCTATGTGAACAAAACCCACTCTTAGAAACGTTGCTCCACAGCGCTGTTAGTGGACCGAAGCCCTGCAGGGTGCCTCAAATACTGTCTAATAGCTTGTGTGTGTGTGTGTGTGTGTGTGTGTGTGTGTGTGTGTGTGTGTGTGTGTGTGTGTGTGTGTGTGTGTGTGTGTGTGTGTGTGTGTGTGTGTGTGTGTGTGTGTGTGTGTGTGTGTGTGTGTGTGTGTGTGTGTGTGTGTGTGTGTGTGTGTGTGTGTGTGTGTGTGGTGCAGGTGTTCTCTGATGGGTTTTGACCTGAATCGCCACTGGCAGGATCCCTCTCCATGGGCCCACCCCACGCTGCACGCTGTCAAACAACTCATAGTGCAGATGAACCAAGACCCGGTGAGTGAGCACACACACACACACACACACACACACACACACACACACACACACACACACACACACACACACACACACACACACATATGTACATGTTGTCAACAGCTTTAAAATCAAAACAGCTCCACCTGTTAAAAATCTGCTCAAAGATTGTTGGTCACCCTGTCAGAGACTTTCTGACTCAGCATACCATAATAACCTCGTGAGGCTGTCCAACAACATCATCTGGGACCCAATACTGAAGCATCCTTTGTGCTCCAGTCAATCCTCACAGTAAATACAGAGCTGAATCCCAGATCAAATGCTGAAGGCTCTTTGAGCAGGTTTTCTCTCAGTGATCGTGCTGTTATGTTAAATGCAGAGATGGCAAAAGTACACACATCCTTTACTCAAGTAGAAGTACAGATAATCGTGTTTAAAATATACTCTGGTAAAAGTAGAAGTCATGACTAAACTTCTTTACTCAAGTCAAAGTAAAGAGGGCTTTGAAATGTACTTCAGTAAAAAGTACCCATAACTAGCAGCTGTTTTAAAGAGTACCTGACCTCCCTTTATATGAATAGAACAATAATGTCATTGTTAGCTAATGAATGTTTCCATGCTGAACAACGGCAACATGACAACGTTTTCATTGGTCCCTCTTCTTTAGAGAAGACCAGGAAATGATGGATACACGGATCGTGTTCAAATCAATAGGCACGCAATGACTCTAAATAATAATGATCACGCCACCAAACACACATTCAAACTAAAGGAACCAGCCTGTTTGGGAAATGTGAGAAGTAGAAAGTACAGGTACTTGTGTTCAACATGTAAGAAGTAGAAAGTACAGGTATTTGTGTTCAACATGTAAGAAGTAGAAAGTACAGGTATTTGTGTTCAACATGTGAGAAGTAGAAAGTACAGGTATTTGTGTTCAACATGTAAGAAGTAGAAAGTACAGGTATTTGGGTTCAACATGTAAGAAGTAGAAAGTACAGGTATTTGTGTTCAACGTGTAAGAAGTAGAAAGTACAGGTATTTGGGTTCAACATGTAAGAAGTAGAAAGTACAGGTATTTGTGTTCAAAATGTAAGAAGTAGAAAGTACAGGTATTTGGGTTCAACATGTAAGAAGTAGAAAGTACAGGTATTTGGGTTCAACGTGTAAGAAGTAGAAAGTACAGGTATTTGGGTTCAACATGTAAGAAGTAGAAAGTACAGGTATTTGGGTTCAAAATGTAAGAAGTCAAAGTAAAAAGTTGTCAGAAAAATAAGTAGTGGAGTAAAGTACTGATACCAGAAACATGTACTTAAATGTAGGGTAGGTAATTCACTTCAGCAACACTTTTTGTTATATTCCATGGAATGCTCTTAACATCCCGATAGCAATGAATAAAATAAATGCTTTGACAATAAATACATACAAAAATGTAATCTGTGGAAGCCGTGGTGCTGTAAAAAACACGACCAATTATTTTAGCCGGCCCGGCTAAAATAACTTGATGGCCTACCTGCCTGTCAGCCTTCCATCTCGTCCACAAACTTACATTTTCTCGTGCCCTCATTGGTCATGTGCGCGTTCGTGTGTGTTGGAGGAGGGGCTCTGTAAGGAAGTCTGAAGGAAGGGGCAGATTTTCTTCGGCTGCGTACTTTCCAAATTCTAGCGCACTCGAGCTGGTTTCTCCATTCTTACCCTACCTTTAAGTACAGTATTTTTATTCCACTACTAAAGTATTATTGTATCGTATGTACACACACATGTCCTCCTCACTGTGCTCAACACACCTCCACTGCTGGTTTCTGCCTGCTTGCTTGGTTCAGCATGTTCCTCCAATGTGTGTGTGTGTGTGTGTGTGTGTGTGTGTGTGTGTGTGTGTGTGTGTGTGTGTGTGTGTGTGTGTGTGTGTGTGTGTGTGGTGTGTGTGTGTGTGTGTGTGTGTGTGGTGTGTGTGTGTGTGTGTGTGTGTGTGTGTGTGTGTGTGTGTGTGTGTGTGTGTGTGTGTGTGTGTGTGTACCGGGGAGCAGCGAGAGGTTTAGTCAGCACCTCTAAAATGTCAACCTGGCTCTCCTGGCCATTTCAGAACATATTACTAAGTCTGCATGCTTTCAGTCTGCAACTCCACTGTAACTTTTTCCCTCCTCCAGTTTTCAGTCAGAGGAACGCTACACAAGCAGGCTAGGGATTTTCCTCTTTGTTCCTGATGTTAATTATAAGCAGAGCGGCAGGTTGGTGGGATTACTGAAGGTCAGTGTGTGTCCTGGGAATACTCTGCCCTTTTGTACACTCCTCTAATCCTGATAAGAGAGGAGCGGGATGCAGGAAGGGGCTGGCATCGCGCAGATTAACCTTTTCCCCCGGCGCTGACACACTGATCGATAGACTCTGTCATAGCAGGGTGATCCACTCATGCCTGTCATTCACACACACCAACACACACATCCTGAGCAAAAACACAAACACACTTACTTACAATCAGAGGTGGAAAGTAGTGGAGTACAAGTACTTTTGGTATCAGTACTTTACTCCACTACTTATTCTTCTGACGACTTTTTACTTTGACTTCTTACATTTTGAACACAAATACCTGAACTTTCTACTTCTTACATTTTGAACACAAATACCTGTACTTTCTACTTCTTACATTTTGAACACAAATACCTGTACTTTCTACTTCTTACATGTTGAACTCAAATACCTGTACTTTCTACTTCTTACATTTTGAACACAAATACCTGTACTTTCTACTTCTTACATGTTGAACCCAAATACCTGTACTTTCTACTTCTTACATTTTGAACACAAATACCTGTACTTTCTACTTCTTACATTTTGAACACAAATACCTGTACTTTCTACTTCTTACATGTTGAACACAAATACCTGTACTTTCTACTTCTTACATGTTGAACACAAATACCTGTACTTTCTACTTCTTACATGTTGAACACAAATACCTGTACTTTCTACTTCTTACATTTTGAACACAAATACCTGTACTTTCTACTTCTTACATGTTGAACACAAATACCTGTACTTTCTACTTCTTACATGTTGAACACAAATACCTGTACTTTCTACTTCTTACATGTTGAACACAAATACCTGTACTTTCTACTTCTTACATTTCCCAAACAGGCTGGTTCCTTTAGTTTGAATGTGTGTTTGGTGGCATGATCATTATTATTTAGAGTCATTGCGTGCCTATTGATTTGAACACGATCCGTGTATCCATCATTTCCTGGTCTTCTCTAAAGAAGAGGGACCAATGAAAACGTTGTCATGTTGCCGTTGTTCAGCATGGAAACATTCATTAGCTAACAATGACATTATTGTTCTATTAATATAAAGGGAGGTCAGGTACTCTTTAAAACAGCTGCTAGTTATGGGTACTTTTTACTGAAGTACATTTCAAAGCCCTCTTTACTTTGACTTGAGTAAAGAAGTTTAGTCAGTACTTCTACTTCTTTTACCAGAGTATTTTTAAACACAAGTATCTGTACTTCTACTTGAGTAAAGGATGTGTGTACTTGTAGAGTTAATTTGAGGCCTGGGCAGCCTCTCCTCTTCTGTGTGTCTCTCTGGCCTCAGCCTGTTAATCCCATCAGACACACTACTCATGTCCGGCTCTCCCAAATGCCACTTCCACTGCCAGCTCTGCAGCCAGGAGCCCCTCGCTGCTGCCCTCTATTCATGCCCTGCTCACTCAGCGGGCACAGGGTCTAATGAGGCTTCGCTGGAGGACTCCATTAACAGCAGATCACCTGCAGCTATAGCACACCAGTTGGATTTAACTAGCTCATTTACTAGCTGCTAACTATTTATAGTTGTTAGAAAAATGTCACTCGTCCCCGGCTTGAGCTTCAATCTCAGGATCCAAGTATTTCTGATCCTCTCCAGAATGGAAGGAGTCATCACATACAGAGCATCAACTAGTTCCTGAACAGTGTCCTTCACATGCTGATATACAAGAGAGGGAGTTACACAGTCACAACATGGAGGAATACCGGTTCTTCTAAGTAATCATACATCCAGTCACGTACAAAATTCCGACTTTTTCTCAAAATCTCAAAATTCTGACTTTTCCTCAAAATCACAAAAAATTCTGAATTGTTCTCAAATAACAAAATTCAGACTTTTTCTGAATACTTAAAAATGTTAATAATCCCTCGTCCCCGGCTTGAGCTTCAATCTCAGGATCCATGTATTTGTGATCCTCTCCAGAATGGAAGTAGTCATCACATACAGAGCATCAACTAGTTCCTGAACAGTGTCCTTCACATGCTGATATCCAAGAGAGGGAGTTACACAGTCACAAGATGGAGGAATAGAAAGCAGTATTCAATGTTTACTTCAGATTAGCTCCACGTCAGAAATGATCATGCTTGTCATATGTCTATCTCCATAGAGGCTGAATCATCATGTTAATCACATAGCTATCATATGCCTCAAACAGTCCTGATGCTCTTCTAGGTAATCATACATCCTGTCATGTACACAGCTACAGTTGGGATACCTTTGTTAGCATGTTACTCTCATATTGGAAGAGAACATTCAGTGTTTTCCCAACATTGAGCAATCTAAACTGCATTGGTATGGATGGCTGGAAACCTTTATTTGAATATTTGTAATAAATAGCCATGTGTTTAATAACTAGCGGACTGAGAGGACGCCGTTTTTTATTTGCATTTTAAGAAATGATATGGTTACACAACCAACAATAGTCCACAAATACAAAAAAAGATGAATAATTTATAAGGTAAAGTTAACAGATTACGCTAGCTAACGTGTCTCCAAAAGCAGCCCTTTTTTTATCATTTAAATGTTGCCACACCAGTTGGAATAAACTAGCATTTTTGGCTAATTTACTAGCTGCTAACTCTGTATAGTCATGTGTTTAAAAACGATGAGACTAAGAGGACGCTGAAAATCAGAATCAGAAACAGGTTTAACACAAACAAGGAATTTGACTTGGTGTTGTGGTGCATACATACAAATAAAACAAAAATAAAAAACACAGA